TAAATAAATAAATAACAGGCAAAGCTAAACCTGAAGGCTGGGAGAAGTGAGAAAAGAGGAGGCTCAATATTAAAACTGTGACTCATGCACCATTGACCAATCACTACATTTGCTTCCTTTTACGTTTTCTCTAGAGTAAGTCATTTTGGTTCAGAACACCTACTGCTCCCAGACTGAGAGGAGAAAAATAAAATCCGTTTTTGAAATCTTCCTCATCAAGTCTGAAGAAACAAGTCACAGTCAGATTGGGGATGAGATCAAGTCTCCTTCTTTCTCCAAGCTCAAAATTCTATCACTTAAGCTCTACTTTTAGCCAACAATAGGTGACCTGGTGTCACTGTGTTAGATATTCAACTCCTCTGATTTCTCCAGATACTCAGTGTACATTTAAACCCAGCCAGTGTTCAACTTTGTGATAAAGGAAGTCTGTGTACTCTTATCTTTACCTTTAGGATACAATCATTTCATAATAGAAAATGTTCACATCTTCCATTTATTTCAGGACTGGACTTTTTCTAAAGTTGAGGGAGATCATTTGTCATAGCTTTCTGCTGCTTTCTGGATGAAATGTCATACGATGAGTCCATGGTGGAGCCTTTTAGAGAAAAGATAAGATTCTTTGCTTTTTGTTACTCTTCCCTCATGATATTGTATCTAGGCTACTACATAGACACAATTATGCAGTAAGAAAGCTTTGAAACAACTTGGTCCATGAGTGAAGCCCAGAATGTGCAGATTAGGAAGCCACTAGTTGTGAGCTGAGATGGCTCAGGAGCTGGAAGCACCCCCACGAATATTGAAATGCATCATTCCTTCAGACCTGTGTGTCAAAGGCTGAGTTCACACAGATGAAGACAAGTGTTGTTAACAAAGTATATGTTAGCTTTGGCAGATTTAAAAGCCTAGGAAAACAAAAGTTCTAAGTTTGATTTTTTTTTTTTTTTTTAAGAAGAAATTGGCAGGACTATTTTTTTTTTTCCTATCATAAAAGGCCATCTTCTAGAAACACAGGGGGAGAAAATCATAGAGTCTTACTTCCCCTTACCACCTGCCTTGTGTTTGGTTGGATTTTACTCTCCGCTGGGTACACTGGGAAAGAAAAAGGGGTTTCATGAAAGGAAGGAAGTGCTGTGGCAATAAATAATAGAGTCTTCTTTGGAAATGGAACCCAACTGGTGGTGAAGCCCAGTAAGTGGCCATTTTTCTATTTCTGTATGACCAAACAAATCCTGTGAATTTGGTGGCAATTTAATATGTAAACAAATGCTTCTTCCTTTGAAACATTCATGATTGTTGAAAATAGAGCAATAACGATAAGTAAATGGCAAGGCAAAAAGACCATCCCAAATCCCCTATAATATGATAGTTCAGCATTCTTTCTTGCACAGACAGATGGAAGCCACGAGTTTTTATAGTCACAGTATTTCTTACACTGTGTTTTGTAATGACTTGGGTGTTTACTATGCTTTTGCCCACAGAACTTCCATTCTATTAAAAATGTGACTATAGTTCATTTTAAATGCTGCTAATATTTATAAGGAATCTTCTTTGTCTCTCAATGCCTGCACATATACTTATTCTAAAAGACCTAATAGAAAACCCAAACATTGTCCTGTTTTGACTAATGTCCATAGATAGTCTCACACATACCAAATTTCACTTTAAAAACCAGCTTAACTATTCAAATGGAATGGAAAAAAAATAATAATTCAAAGATGAATTGGTGATCCCAAATATCTCTGAAAGGAAATTTGGAGTGAAATAAAGTGGCAGGTGTGATGACAAGATTTTGGTGTACCAATCAATTCCCCATGGGGAGTAAAAACTTTAAACCTGCCTCCTTGGTGTAGACTCAGAATTCAGGAGCCTGGCATTCCTGGGGGTATTCCTGATGTGCCAACATCTTTATGCTACCATTTTGGGAACAGTGAAGCCCATTCAAATGTCAGTCAGAAAAATAATATTAGGAGACAAGTGTACTCAATGTATTGATTGACTAGGACATTGAACACTACAATATCTTATGATTGAGGCTACACAGAATTCCCAACCCAACAGGGTAGCCTGTTTTTAAGTGGTTTCACTGGAGAAAATGTTCAAATACTAAGAAAAGACTAGATACCTCCATAAATTTGTTTTGGAGCTTGTCAACATGACCAACACATGTTAATCTTTTCAATGCTTGTGGTAAAGAGAATCTTTTGAGTCAGTTAAATGCTGAGGAGCAGATAGTTGGGTATGGTTCTTTAGGACTCAAAGGATTCTGTCAGGGTGAATGATAATGGCATAGGATTTTCATCTCTTGGTGGTTTAAACTTCCTAGGCTATGAAAGGAGAACATTTCCCAAACGACTAGGATCCCTCTGGGCCAGAATAAATGATCCTTGCTACCCACAGCTAGGACAGGGTTATTGGGAGTATAGCAAACATGTGCTTGGCCTGTGAGGTATCCTCAGGGTTTGGTGATATGGCTACTCTAGAACTTGGGCCAAGAGCTGAGGGTGACCTGAGGGCTCTGTAATGTAGTTTCATTACAAGTAGAAACTCGGATGGTGCCTGAAATCGCCCATTCCTGCCCCATCCTTGTTTGGGCTCTGAAGACTGCATTTCTACCTTAGTGGCTGTCTACCCATCCATTTTTTGTCTACAGTTATATATAACAGAATTGTGTTTGATATCAGAAAGGAGTTTGTTGAATTGTTGGCTTTTATAATTCACTCTGTGTCAAATGAGGTCATTCAATTTCCTCTCTGTGCGTTTGCAAATAAGCAGCATAAATTTCAAGCCAAAAACCAGAAGACACAGAGAAAGATGGTTGAGCAGATAATGAGGCCTGTTTATTATAACAGAGGAGACAATGAATGTGAGGATCTGTTAAGTTCCACAAAGGCAAGGTACCTGTCAAGGGGTGTGTAGCTTTTCTGAAAAGCATCACTAGGAGTTTTTGCTATGGCCTCAATCACAGTGCGAGCAAAACTTGAACAAAATCATCTTTGGAAAAGGAACTCAACTTCATGTTCTCCCTAGTAAGTGCAGTTCATGTGGCTTTCTGATACTCCTATTAAGCTAAAAGTGGTTTTGGTGTTCGGAAAAGTTTTTTAGACTCTAAGACCCATGGGAAGCTTCTAGGACCTTGACCCGCCTGCCTTGCAGAGGCATGATCCTAAGCCTTCCCACAGCTTAGTACCAAATGTGTCCCCTAGATCTGGGATAGTTGTTGCCACTCTTCTGCTGCTTAAATATCAATTGTCATCTTCATTGTTTAAATACTACGAAGAGTGAACATGAACAGGTTGGAGAATACTTTTTCCAGAGTTCATCTGTCATGTCTCTCCCATAAGCTTGTTCCCAGTGGAATTTTTTTGGACACATTTCTAAACCTAGTGTGAGTTCTGGCTTCAATTAAATTGGCTTTGGAATTGGCACCAACCTACCTATGACTCTTCCTCTTCCCTTCATAGAAAGACCTGCTTTTCTCTGTTTGACCTCAGCTGATGTTCCTGGCTCTGATGTCCCATGCCTTTCATTTCCCTTATTCTAGGGATGGGAACTAGTTTAATGCCAGAGGTAACAAAGATGGTCTGTCAGCCAAGAACAACTTCTTGTGTTGAGCCCTTCCCACCCTATGCCATTTTCCAAATCCTTTTCTTCACTTAGGAGAAGTGACCACTCCTGTTTTATTTCTAGCAGAGAGTTCATTGTGAGGCCAGAGACAAGGGTTTCCTTTGGAATATTTTTTACAGGTCTACAATAAACTAGAAGTTTGCAAATGGTTGAGAAATGTGGCCTTGGGCCACAGCCTCGTGTTTGGAAGCTCTAAGCAGGGTAAACGGACAAATTTAGAGGCTTCTTAATTATACCACATTTTGTAAAGGATTAAGGGGGCAAAGACATGATAAGAGAAAAGAAAAAGTATAATTAGCGAGGAGATTTCAGGGTGGACCTAGGAGGGAAGATGGCTAATAAGAGGAAAGGTCGAGGGAAAGCACTGGGCCAGGCCTTCAGAGTTTTTGTTCTGAAGCCTATCACTGTGAGAACACAGGAGCTAGACAGCTTACCTTTGGGAAAGGCACAAGACTGTCTGTGATCTCAAGTAAGTGTCCCTGGCCACCCTTAATTTTGATCAACAATAGCTTATTCCCTTTAATGATTTGTCATTTTACTTAAGAATGCTTTTGTCCTCAAGAGAGGTCTCTTAGGAGCTAGGAGTCCATTTTGAAGAGGAAGATAAGCAGGTTACTCTAACCTGTTGATCATAATTCAAAAACCACTGGGCAGCCATGGGCAAGCCCAGAGCTGGGCCCTGTACCTCACCCTGACTTCATACCCTGGCCCAGTGTTCTCATCTCCCAGGAGACAAAACTCTAGAACAGAGAATCTGAGACTACTTAGCCTGGGGAAACACAAAAGGGATTGTCTGAAACCAACGAGCCATTTTTAAATACATTATGGATTTATATGAGTATTTAATGTTGTTATTAACTTTAACTTGCCTAAGTAATACACAAAAATGTACCATTATAAACAATTCACATCATAGATAAAGTGAATGTTCATCTTGACCCCTACCTTCAATCTCAGTTCCCTGCCCCAAAGTGACCACTGTGACTGTGTTGGTGTGTTGTGACCTGTTTCTACTTGGATTATGTTGACAAAAAATTCCCTGTATCTCTCCAAGGAGGGAAGCTCAAGAGGTAAAGGGTTCACATTGTAGCGTGCAGGCATCCGTTAGACATAAGGAACAGTTGCTTGAATACAAGGACTGTTGGTAAAAGAGAGTCGCCTTCTCTGGACTAGACAGGGCTTTGGTCAGATGATGACCTCTGACAGTCCAGCCGGGTCTCTGTAGGACTCAGAGGGACTGTCCACCCCATTGCAATCCTCTCTCATAATCCTTTGCTTTTACCTGTCACCTGGATGTTGTAGTTTAAGCTGTCAGTGCTATTTCTGTGCTGCCCCATGATTTGATTCTCTCAGCATCTGTGGGGGTTTTTGTAAAGACAAGAAACTGTGTGCATCCTCTGGAACTGGGAATTATGGACTCATTTTCGGGAAGGGCACCAAACTCTCAGTCACACCAAGTAAGTTCTTCTTTCTGGCTAATTATTCTTCCCGACAAGCCTGTCTTCCATCATGCAGAAGCTATCAAAGCCCAGGTGGTGGTTTCTCTGCTTGGTTTGTGTTGGGTGGTTCGTGATACCAGTTGGAAAACAAGGTTATTAATGTACATACTTCCTAGGGCATTGTACTTGGGTTTTAATATCCATGTAGTCACTCCCTGAGAAAAGATGTGAGTCTCCAGGAGGAGGTAGGTCCAGAAAAAGTAGGGGGGAAAGACAGGAATTGGATGAAAATAGACAAAGGGCTGGCAGGAGTAACAAAAAAAAGCAGGATCCCAGGAGACAGAGCAGTAACCACTTTGAATTTCCCAGGAGGCTTTCCTGCCAAGACCCATTTTTTCAAAGGAAATTATGTCAAATTGAGTGGGGCTGGGAAGTTACTACTTATTGCTATTCATCACACGTTCTAACCTAATTACAGGAAGATTGTTTTGGCCATGGGCAGTCATTTCAGGTTTTGTTTTTTGATTGCCTCCCTCACCTCCACCTGTCTTCCTGGAGGCCTCAGTCAAGGTTACTGCCATGGCACTGAACACTGTGTAAGACTAATACAGACAGGTTAACCTTTGGGGACGGGACCACACTCACCGTGAAGCCGAGTAAGTTGTATTCTTCTTGGGCTGATCCTTTAGAGGCAATCAATGAAATCATTATGTAGTTTGAAAAAAAAAGAAAACATTAATCCTGGGCATCTACTTGGGATCTTTACTCATGTTTTTTCCCCAGGTCAAAGAAACTTGGTTCCCTTTTCTAGGCTGAGACGTGAGTGTACACACATGCATGTACACATGCTCTTGCTCACTGAGGGACTCAGGGGCTCACAGAAGCACAAAATAGCATTTTCCAAAACAGAGCTATAACCACAATTGAACCAGGGAGAATATCAAGAAGACCCTTCAGAGGGCACCCAACCCACCCACCCCACTCAACCCCTGCCATCCCCTGACCAGGCTCCTTGACCAGGTGGTCTGCACTTTGACTTGGTCTGATGGTTTAGGGCCAGAATCCCTCGATTTCTCTCCAGATAATTGCAAATTTTAGCAACCCTTGCTTCCAGAAAGTATTTTCTCATATCTGATTTTAATCTTTGCTGCAATTTAATTTTCAAGGATATCTAGCTTGAGAATAGAAGTTCTGCCCTAAAATGTGAGAATCAGTACTGAGGCTACTTCTGAAGTACCTATGGACATTTTGAGCCCAAGTGATTATATATTAGGCAATGTAACATGAATATTGGAGATAGCAAAACCTGAGTTCAAGACCTGGATTTGTGCCTTTATTAGCTGTGTGGCTTTTGGCAAGTTACTTAACCTCTCTGAGACTTGGTTTCCTCAGTCTGAAGCTGAGGATAAAAATCTATACGTACCTATGGATTTTTTTGTAAGGATAAAATGAAATAATATAGCTAAAGTATTTAGCATAGAAATCGGGACATAGAAAGAGCTCATTAAACACTTTTTATTAACAAAAATGATAAATATCAGCTCCAACACACAGTCAAGCTCTTGTTTGGCCCCTCAGGCTCTTCTGTCAAAGTTCTGTCACGCATCAGGAGAAGAGCTGGAATGGGAGGGGTAAATGTCATCCTGTTCTTTGAAATTCTTCACCTGGGATTTGAAAGTGTCTAAGTGGAAATTGAAATAATTCTGGCTAATTTAAATACAATCATCCAAGTGTCAGAGGAAGGGGACAGGTTTCTGCAGAAAGCTGCAAGGGATAGTACTGAAGGCTGCACTCAAAACCCTGGGACTGGGCACAAGGCTTTCAGTTCTTCCAGGTAAATGTGGTCAACACCACAACCTTGAATTACCTGGTCACCAAGCTGACCCCAGGTGACTCCTCCAAAGTACCCCAATCCCCTTCCCAAGAAACAGGCTCCCCGTGTGGAAGGACAGAGTGAGGATGGAAGTTCACAGGGGAAAAGGGCCAACACCAAGCCAGCTGCTGTCAGTTGATCCCGACTCACTGCTACCCTACATGTGGCTAAGTAGAACTGTGCTTGCTCCATAGCATTTTCAATGGCTGTGATCTTTTGACAGCAGATTACCAGGCCTTTCTCCTGAGGAGCCTCTGGGTGGATCCGAACTGCTAACTTTTGGGTTCATAGCTGAGAACTTAACCATGTGCACCATCCAGAAGCTCCATCAGGAAAGCAACCTGTCCCAAAATCACCCTTCTGTGTTTGGGGGCAGTGAAGCTCGTGAGGAATGGGGTACCCTAAAATATCCCCAAAATGAAACTCTCAACCCTGGAAACCCAGCATCAGTGAAGTCTACAGAGGCAAATTGGGGCCATTTATTTTGAGGAAAAGAGGCTGAGGGTAAGGTGGGAACTGAGTCACGTATCTAAACCTGCAAAAGGAGGCATTAAACAGAGGAGGAGGAGGCTCTGTTCTCCCCCTCTACTAAGAGTCAGACCTTAGGACATAGCTAATACTGCAAGAAGAAGGGAGTGAGGTTACTGGTAAAACCTTCCTAATAGGTTTTTGAACAGTGAAAATGAGCTGTCAGGAGTAGTTGCCAGAGCCCTTTCTCTAGAGGGTTTTGAAAGAAAGATAGACACCCTCCTCCTATCAGGGGTGATTGAAGTGCAGCCCTGCCTTCAGGCAGGAGGAGAAATGAGAGAACCTCTTTAAGTCTCTTTCCAACCCCTGGAGCCTCCCTGGCTCATTAATGCAGAGCTGCAGCCTTTGGGACACACAGGTTTGCTGGAGACTTGAGTTGGTGTGTCCCAAACTCCCTTTTGTCTCAGAGCTTGACAGGACAGAATGAACATAAATACACAGAGCCTCTGGGCCATGTCGGCACGTGGGGAAGATGCTCTAGGGGGTTTGTGCTGAGCCCAAGTCCTGTGGGGATAGCAATGCCCAGAGTTGCATCCTTGGTCCTGGAACCAGATAGTCTGTGCTGCCCTGTCAGTACAGTTAAATGAGGGAAAGGAAAGGAGTCCAAAGCTCCAGCTGAGGACTCATTGTGTGACCTTAGGAGCAGGATGGAGAAGGAGATAGAAGGGAGTGAGGACCATGAGGAATAAGACGGAGACCCCTCTTCCTGGTGTGTGACTAACACTGGAGGAAGCACACTGGAGGCTTCATCTCCCAGGAGGGCTTTGTGTGGGGAAAGCTGAGCTGGCAGGTTTTTGATGCTGAGATAATCACTGTGTGAAGGACAAGGCTTCTCCTTTATCTTTGGAAAAGGGACAAGGCTGCTTGTCAAGCCAAGTAAGTGGCATATAATTTGAATTGTGTGCTGAATATGATTATCTCAGAGTGAAAAACTTGCTGTCTTTTCCACAGGGATCCTCTTAGGTCAAAAAGACACTAAAGGGCCTGAGCAGACCAAGATTCAATACCTAGTCATCTTGTCACCCTTGACAGTGCTCTGAGAGAAAACAGAAGAGAAGAAGTCCACTAGAGATCAGGGGAATGGTCTCTGGGAATTTTTCCCAGAATATAGTCTTATGTGATCCCCTGGCCCTGGGGCCTACTCTGTCAGCACTCCGGCCGATAAAGCCACCTGATGGCAAGGGCCTCCTTAGAAGGAGATTCCAGTATGATTATCTCCATTTAATAGATTTGCGATTTCACAACTGAGGCAAGTAGAGGTCACTGGCTCAAACAGAACCAAAAGGAAGAAAAACCAGAGATGCTGAAACAGTTTTTCCACTGGCCTCAGGAATTCAAAATGCCAGGGTATTTACATAGGATTGCAGTTGTAATCAGCTATAGTTTGGGCTCCCGTGGTCCTGAGGACTGGGTTTAGCATGAGGGAAACTCCTGGGTGTGCTGGGCTATTACACTGCAAAAGCCTAGAGGTGCCACGTTCCATTAGCCCCAGGGCTGCCACTTTCCGGCCCTGTCGCCCAGGAAGTACAGCTCTCTGCACATATCCTCCTCCTCAGTGTCTTGAAAGAAGAGAAATTAGAAGAGAAGAGCAGGAAAAGTTTATATCTCATATCATGCAGTTACCTCATTTTGTAGCAAGATTGTTTCCCCATGAGCAGTTTGTCTTCATTTAGCAGCTGTCTTCTCTGGAGCAGCCATTTTGTAGAGGTGTTTGTCACAGTGTGAAAACTGACGGCTGGGGGAAATTGAATTTTGGAACAGGGACCCAAGTTCTGGTCACCCCAGGTAAGCCCGATTCCCTAGAGCCTCACTAGCCCTTAATTTTAGCCCCTGTACGTCAAGTATTTCTCGCTAAAACTACGAGGAACACATTTAAAAGAAAGTCATTTCCCTCAGCAGCAGTACCCAGAGCCATTAAGCAAAAATAAGAGATCAGTTTGGTGTTAAATAGAAACATTTTGGGATAAATAGGAATTCTCATTATTCGCTATCGCCTGTGTGACTATGCTTGTTCCCCTTATAAGGGAAAAAAAATTTACAATAAGAAGTACAGCCATGATTCATGCTGTGGTGTGGGAGAGATCTGTGGATTTTTGGGGTGGAGGATTAGAAATGTGTTCGGGCAGATTAGATGTGTTTTTGACAGGATATGTAACACAGTGTGAATTATAACCAGGGAGGAAAGCTTGTCTTTGGACAGGGAACCAAGTTATCTGTGAATCCCAGTAAGTATAAAATTGTGTTCCTAGATTAAGCAATGTCTGTGGATTAAGGACTGATTTAGACCCAATTATACACTATATGATGAATGTTTAGAGAAAGTAAATGAGTATCTAATAGAAGGAGGCCAAAAGTCTCCCTGACTAGGATTTGGCATCTGTGTGCAAATGGGACATACAGGGATATCTCTGGGAATTGCTCCCAGAATGTGTGTGGTGGCTCATAACTTGGTGTATTGGCTAGGATCTATAGCCTTAGATTTGTGTGGTAATCAGTGACAAGATTTCTGATTCTTTAACAAGCTCTCTAAAATACTATTCTCATTGACTAAGATTATGCCCTTTTATAGAAGGAACCCTATAAATAATAATCAATGACCAAGAAAAATGTGAATGCT